TTTATTTGCAAGTTTTAAACCAGCTGGGAAGAAATGTGTTTTTTGCAAGAGGAAACATTCTTTTAAACTTGTTTTAAGCAATGAAATCAATGCACACTCAAGGTTTTGGGTGGTCTATAGCAAGATATTGCTCATATTGCTGTTACAAAATTAGTAGAGTGCAAATAGATTGAAAAGATTCAAGATGTATATCACAAATGTACTGAGCTGTATATAATTGAAATAAACTTATTTTATACTTTAAAATACCTGTCCAGAGCACTACTTGCAAACCTGCATCAAATTCAATCTAAACTGATGAGATTCGAAAAGCTTTTTTTGTAAAAAGGCATTGCTCAGTGGCTTTATGTATTGTAATTTCCCTAAATGTCTAAGTTCTTTCTTATTGACAATTTTTCCTCCATGCTATAGGTAGTAGAATTAATGTGATTTAATGAAACCTTGACCTCCACATCCCAGGAATTTCATACGACATTGCATGAGTCAGTAATTTTAAACCTACAGTGCCTTTTACATGGCTTCCTTTCTGACACTGTGATGGCAGCTTTGGTGCAGTTTCTGTGAAAATGCGCAATCCTTAAGATTGAGGACAATAAATGTTAATATTGGAATATAATCGTTATAATATTAATCTGATGAACTGCTACAGGTCTTCAAAGCACCTCTTATTGTATAGCACAGTTAACTAGTATGAAGATTTTTTCATTGCTTGAATCTCAAATGGAATATAAATAAATGTGCTCATTAGACTTTGTCAATAATTAGGAAGTCATTTATAATTAGATATGTGTTAGAATGATGCCTAATCCACTGAAGCATGTACCAGCACTTGGTATGTCTGGAGACAACTTGTTCATAAGGAGAAACGTAATTTAAATATTTCTGACATAATTATGGGGAAGTTAATACTAGTTTTTCAGCATGTACACATCTGTAAGAACTTTTTAGAACATTAGTACAGGGCCAGGGAAACAGATACAATGATGACTCATTTAATAACTTGGTCATATTGTCGTCTTCTGTTTTTCCAAACCTGGGCTCTGTCTACACTGGGCATTTGTCATGATTTCAGCATTCTGTGGCTAGCCATCAATGTAGCAGAGTTTTACTGGTGCAGCTACCTCCGTGACTGGCCACCAATTGCTGAAATCAGGGCAAATACCCAGTGTAGACAAGGCTTCTGAGTTCTTAGGTCATTTTCGGATATGAATCTCCACTCATTTTTGTATGTATGCTTTGAGTTATGTGCACTGCACGAGTGTGGTTCCATGCAGGCAAATCATCTTGAAAAGAACCACAGATAATAGGGAAAAATGGTTACTTACCAGTCCCCCAAGATTACACAGATGACACTCAGCAAAATGTGTACTGGTATATAGGAAACATGACTTCCCATGTAATAATGCCAAAGATTAGAAAGTATGCAACTGAAAATCAGATTTCTTTGGTGTGATACTTCCATAGTACATAACAGCTCATGTTTATAGCTACAACTGCTTTTAGCTGTGGAGGTCCCCTGGTCAGTCCCATATGATGGCAGTTGTCAGACGGACAAAGTAATCGGATGGTTTAATTATCGTGGACTTGAATCCTCCTTCAGTCAACAAAAGCACAAATTCGTGGAGGAAACTCATTGATTCTTTAATGAAATTCATGTCATGTCCGTAGTTTCTTTTGCATGTGGGGCTATTGAGTGATCAGAGCTAGCCTTTGGGGCCCTCCAAAGCCAGTGGCCAACGACTCCAGTTTATCTGGGTATCTAGCAATGGCAGTGCTATTCTCAGCTTTCATATACCAAAAAAAAGTAGTTCCTACTACTCTTCTTTCTAAAACTAGCCTTGAAAATTAGTCTCTGAAATTTTCCTAAAGATTCATGGTTTACTTGCAGTCCACCACCACCACCTTTTAGCTGCCACGCTGGCCTTTCGGGTCCACATAACCCATGGTTTGGGGATGGTCCCAATCCCAAATCAGTTCACAGGTCTAGGGGAGCAGTACTGCCCATGCTGCTACTGATGGCACTAGGACTCCTGCAAGTTCTCCCACTTGACTTCTTGCAATTGACCAGCTACACTGCTGGGCAGCCACCGCGACTTCTGGCCACAACTAAGATCGTTGACTAGCATGAGACAAAGCATAGGTTAAATGTGGGATGGAGAGCAAAGGTCTCCTGTATCCATATCTCAGCTCTGGCACTCTCTGTATAGCCTTTGTCAAGTCACAAACTCTGTTTTAGTTTTTACCATCAGCAAAATGGGGATACGCTTTACCTGTAAAGTAGGAAACTAGCTACCACCCATAAAAGGCACCGTAGAATTCAGTAGAATCCTAGTGCCCCGCAGACATTTGGCTTGTTAGAAAACTTGCAAAATTTCAAAATAAAAATATAGCGGGTTTGTGGATTTTTCTTCACAGACCCCAGTAAAAGCTCCTTTTCTATGCGTGTGATGAGGGGTGGAAAGGGGAGAACCTACAGAACTCCTTTTTTACACACACACGCACGCTAATTTTGTTTGTACCTAGAAGAACCATTTCACTTGCCCTCCCCCAAATCCTCACACCTGCACAAGACTCATGTGATTGAAGTAGACAGGAGTCCATTATGTTGTGGGGCGTGATGAGAAAAACTGCCTTGCAAATGCCCCCAAAAATGCAAAGGGCAGCTCTAAAAATGATAACTATGACAATTGCTTCCATTTCTGGACACTGCAGATATATTTCAAACGCAAAAGGTATATGTTACCATACTGTAAATACTGTGGTAGTTGTGTAATAATTATATGTATATATGTGTGCATGGTTAATTTAGCTTCCAGAATTAAATGGACCATTTGGCAGGTGGGGCTAACTTTAAAATGGGACATTCTCTACTAAATTAAACCTCATTCTTTAGCAGTTTGCTTTCTGGGTCTTCTTCTGATGTTTGGCTTCCAACCCTGTCTCCAGCCTTGAAATACTTTTCCTTGCTCTTCTATTCTTTGGCTTTGTTTCCATTTTTCCTCTATTTTCCTTCTTTAAGCAGGGTATTCTGCTCTCCACCTCCCTTTGCTTTTCGGCCACTGTTTATGCACATGCACATGCATATGTGTTTCAAACCAAGTTATTTATTTTGCAGGACTTACCACAACGTGTCATATGTGGGTAGTCATCCGTCCCTCCCTTCCTCTCCACCCCCACTTTCAGTTTCATATCAGGAAAGTTTTGCCTTCCCAAGGAAGTATACAAAACGTGGTTTCACATCGATGCCTGGCTGCCACAATGATGGGTGTTCTTGAAATTCCTTGTGTCCTGTCCATTTCTTGGGCAGTTCTGAGTGCTGAATGGTTTCATACAGTAGATGTACAATGTTGCTGAACTGTCATGTTACTTATGATGTGTGTGTGTTGTATCAGACACGACAGATAAAAAGGTGCAATTTCATAATCTTAGAATGACCTCTTTGTGATTATATGCACACCACAGTGATGAATTACTGCATTATCCCGAGTTACCGTTGTTAGTTGTAGCTTTGCCATATATAGAGGCTTCCATTTAAAAAGTCAACATTTTCTCATTTAGCATTCACTGGTATCTGCAATGCCATAGTTATTTCCTGTGTTAAGTATAGTATGTCGACAAAGAAAAAGGGTAATAATGTAGTGAGGACCTTTTGCATATATAAGATCTAAAAAGCCCTACTGTCTTCATAATTTAAAAAATTCAAAACATACAGTGTAGGTCTCTTTACACAAATTATATCCTTAGGAGTATATTGAGTAAAATCTATAACTGATTGTGAGTTGTCAATTGCAAACTCTAAGAAATGCAAGAACTTTTTCCTGAATGAACTTCTAATGTTGGCAGTTAACTTAGGTAGGCCAGATCCTGATGTGGTAGTTGAGTATTCAGCACCTATAGGTTTGGCTCTATGTAGCTGACTGCGTATCTGTAAGGAATGCTGTGGGGGTGTAGCTTCGTTGGTCGCAGGATACTAGAGAGGCGAGGTGGGAGAGATAATATATTTTACTGGACCAACTTCTGTCCACTCTGTGTCTCTGTCTGTAGGGAGCACAAAGTAATATATATGCTCTACAGAATAAGTATAAAACAAAACACTGAGCAGCTTGTAGAAAGGAAAATTCTGTTGGTCAAATTCAGCTGCTCTAAAGGAATACATTTTTCAATGTATTTTGTTCAGTATAAAGGTCAAATAAACTTGGTGGTAATGTAGCTCCATAGTTCATAAAATCACTTGTTGCATAAAACATATGGCACTTGCTGAAATGTTTCCCTTTGCCTCAAAGGGAAGAGACTAGTGTTTGTTTACTCACTTCAGTTTTCTTTTCTCAAAATTATCTTTTTAATTCTGCAAAATAGTGTGCTCTCTTGTGTTTGTATTCTGATACCTACTGCTTCAAAATTCAGGTCTAACACAGCAAGTCGTCGAAGCCAACAATCTCCTATTCATATTCGACCTGAAGGACTAAAATGGAGAGAACCACTTCACCAGACTTTATTTCTTTAAAAAATATATATATATAATATACATATATATCACACAGGCAAATGTTTTACTAGAGATAACGAAAGAAAATGTTGTAGCCAAGCTACTTAGTTACAAAGATTTGAGTAAAGATTTTAAAATGTTAACATGTGATTAGCAATGATTGCAGGTGTATATAATCTCTTGCTAATATTCCATTTTAAAGATTTGTGAGATTTTTGTGTTGCAGTTGTGTTTGACCCTAGAGTTCTTGCATGCTAACCTAAAGTAGAAGATTAGCCTGTTTGCATGCAGCTGGGTGCTGCTACTGAAGTGACAAGCATGCTCAGTGAGAATGACATAACTTCCTTTGGCTGAAACCCCTTCCCAGTCCTGTCTGTGACCTCATTTCCTGTGGTACGTGCATAACTTCCTTCATCATTAGTTTCACTAACCTTCACAATTCTTTCTTTGATTAAATACAATATATACCCTGAAAGGTGTAAATCAGCACTGAGCTCTCTCTTTTCTCTTTCAGACAGACTGAAAAAGCTCATTGGTGAACGAGAATCCTTGCTAGAACAGGTAATTAACATATTTCAGTATTGCTGGATGCCTGGTAAGCGACATGGTGACGAGGAGATTTACAAGAGAACAAAATACTCCTATAACAGAAAGAGCATAGGTAATAATGCCCAACAAAGCACAGCAGGTGCTGCTGGAAATGCTGCTGCTATTGCTTCCCTTCCTGTGGTCAGTGTTTTTATTGCACAGGCGCTGGGGTCAGCTTTGCACACTGGAGGTACATTTATGGGGATGGGTATAAGGCAGATTTCTGCCAACACACGGTCATAGACGGGAAGGGGGACACTCTAAAACAAACTTCATAAAAAACTTCATCAGGATTTCAAACGGGGGATTTTTTCCTCCCAAAATGAGCTAGTTGCATGTTACAGGGCTAACTGCCTTGTAGACCCCTCCTGGTCTCTTCGAGGGTGCCCCATTCAGGTCTCTGGCCTCACACAGCCACCTTTCTTGGAGTGGAATCGTGCTTTTCTTCTACTCAGACTAGGCCTTGCACGGCAGTCCCCAAAGTGAACCATGATTATCTCAACAGGCAGTTCTGGTCTCTCGGGAAGCAATGATGGTGATAAACAGTGAGCAGACAGCCTTCTTAAAGCAAAGACATTCCAGAGAAACCCGCCCTTTAAACAATAAACCGTCTGCGTGCTGGCCTGTCTTTGCATAAGGCTGATCATTAAGACTATCATTTTGTCATAGATATTTTTAGTAAAAGTCATGGACAGGGAATGGGCAAAAAACAAAAAGATCACAGAAGCAATGACCTGCCCTGGCTGGGAGCTGCAGGGATCCCAGTGGCTGGGAGGGGTCCCCCCACTACCTTGTAGGGCTGGGAGCTGAGGGGGGGTGGTCCCCCTGCTGCCCGCGACGGCAGGGGAGCTACGGGGGGGAAGGGGACCTGCTAGTGGCGGAGGCTGGGAAACTGGGGGGGCCTCACCCAGCCGCTGAGCAGCTCCGGCATCTGGAAGCTGCAGGGGGTCCCCACCCATGGCCACTGAGCAGCTCCGGAGTCCATCTGCCGCTGGCGACTGGGAGCTGTGGTGGGGCCCCGGCTGCTTGTGGCGGCTGAGCCGCTGTGGGGGCGGGGGGGACCCCTGCCAACAGTGGCAGCTGGGCAGCTCAGCGGTTGCAGCTGGTCAACTTCAGGGATCCTGCCACCTTGAGCAGCTGCAGGAGGGTCCCCCACCGCCCACGGAGACTAGGCTGCTGCGGGACCCCCGCTGCCGGCAGCGGCTGGTTAGCTGTGGGGCCCCCAATGTCACGGAGGTCATTAGAAGTCACAGATTCCGTGACTTCCGGGACCTCCATGACATAAACTTAGCTTTCTGTGAATATGAGGGAAGCCCTACTTCATATTCCCTCCATCTCCTTGGACAGCTGCTGACAATCTTTTTGTTTCACAACGTACAGTTTAGGAGGAGAAATGCAATAGGAATATAATAGCTGGGTAAATGAGAGCCAAATTATTGATGGTGAAACTATACATCATAAAATTCCAAGACAGAACATATATGCAGACCTTTAAAAGCTGACTTGTTTCCTGATAGATGGTAAATTCTTTGGCAGCATAAAGATTCCCATCAGTTATTCTCTTGAGACCTTTGGGATTATGATTGTTCATCTGCATTAACTCATGTTGTAAAAAATCTGACTCTTTAAATTAATTTGCATGCAGAGTATAAACTGCATTACCAATAACACTGTCCCCTCAATGTTACGTACTAGTTCTACTCCAGAATCTACACCCTGTTTCCCAAATAACCTCCCATGTTAAACAGTGCTGCAAAGGAACACGTAGGAGACAAATTTATGACAACATATATTGTGAGACAGATGATTTAAGTATGACATTCCTTCTGGCCAAATGAACTTTCGTGGGGGGCAGTCTGTAGATTGATTTGACCGCTCTCTGTAAAGACACTGAAATTAATGAATTATTTTGGGACTTTCAGATTAAAACACTGAAAGGACAACTGGAAGAGAAGCAGAAGAATGACAAGATGGAGAATCTGCAGTCTGAAGATGAAGTTCTTGAGAATGGGACAGATATGCACATGATTGATCTCCAAAGTAAACTTAATTTCCGTTTAAAGAGTAAACTGCTAAGTGCAGTATATGGATAAAACAGTGCAAATATTGGTTTAAACTTGACTCTTGAATTCTGAGAGTCTCACTTACAGGCTACCTTGCCTATCCACTTGTTCAATTCATTCTTGTTATGTTGGGAGAATTTTCAGTGCCATGGGCAGTTAGATAAGATTCTACAGTAGGTGCAGGAGGGGGGTGTCTTTAGCATTTCAGTTTCCACTTTAAAGACTATGCTGCACAGAAACCTCCTTTGTATTATCAAGTAGGACTGGGTGGGGGCTCTCTTCACACTACCAATTCTGCTCTTAGAATTGTCACGTGATGTGATCTGAATCGCTCCCTGCTCACAGGGACTGGAGCGTGTATGCGTACCAACTTGCACGTATAGGGGACCGTTACAGAATATTTCATGCCAAAGCACAGAGCATGAACCACCTGCCCACCAGCCAGCCCCACATAGTAACAATGCAACATTTTAAAGCTCCAGCATTTTACGTACTGGAGCCCTGTCCAGATTGTTCCTACATTTCTGATAACAGATTTGTCATTTTTTTAGGAGATGCCAACAGACAGATCAGTGACCTCAAATTTAAACTTGCAAAGTCTGAACAAGAGATAACAACTTTGGAGCAGAATGTAAGTTTGCACCTGGAGAGAGAGTGATCAGCTAAGAAATATAGTTCCATGATAAACTAAGGCTATGTCTACACTGCCAGGCAGGTCAGACTACGGGGGTGTGAATAACAATGCGCACCAAAGTGCTGTAACTCCCGTCAGGACACTACGGGCGCAGACTGAAAGGTTCTAGTTCGCACTAAGGTATACTCCTGGGGGAATTCTGCACCAAAAAAAATTCTGCACATATTTTAAAATTCTGTATATTTTATTTGTCAGAATAACACAATATAATCATGTCAGTTTCAGTTATTTTGGTAATCTATTTCAAAATGCCTACCTGTCAGCAAGCATGTCTGCCATACAGACAACAACAAAAGATTCCCCCAGGAGTAGAGAGTTAAAGAAATCCCTTCCACAACCCAGTTGGGTGCCTCAGTCTGGGTGTGTGTCACATGCCCGCTGAGCACATCTTGGGAGAAAACTCTGCTCCTGCGGTCTTTTAGTTGATTCTCATTTTTTCACCCTGCCCCCGTAGGGTTACCATATAGAGGTTTCCAAACAGAGGATACTGCTGTGGGGGAGTGGGAGGTGGAGCTGGAGGGGGTACAGTTGGAGAGTGCTGGAGGTGGTATTTGGGGATGCTGGAGAGGTCCGTACTGGGAGAGGATGTTAGAGGGGGCTATGTGGGGCCTCCTGGCCCAGACACCCACACCCCCTCCCCACAGAACCCAGCTGTGGGGCCAGACACCCGCACCCCCAGAGCCCAGGGATCCAGAGGGAAAAACAGCCTGATGCTGAGTCCCGGGCACATATGGAGTTTCCTGCACACCACCACCTTCCTTCAGGGCATGCTGGGAACTTCAGCGGCTGGGAACCTTGGCAGTGTTCTCTATTTGCGAGCTTGGGAGCCAGGCTCTGTGGGGTCCAGCAGCCTCTGTAGGCTGCCAGCAGTTCTGCAGTGCAAATTCTAAGGGAAAAAATAAAATTGTGTGCAAATTGTGCGTTGTGCAGTGGTGCAGAATTCCCTCAGGAGTAAAGGTAGTCCTGTTTGAAAAGTACTACATTAACATGGACTATGAACCTTTCAGTTAGTACTCGCAGCATCCACATGGGGGAGTTACAGTGCAACAATTTGGTGTGCACTACTATTCACACCCTGTAGTCCAACCTCGGAGGCAGTGGAGGCAAGCCTTTAGTCTTGCTTGCTGTAACACGCTTTGAAGAAAGGATTGTTAGGGATTCAGAACTATCTCATTGTGTTCACACAGACTGGAAATACTTTCATTTACGTATAGGAAATATTATTCTATAAATGTAGAGTTCAAAACAACAATCCACTTCAAGGATCTGTATTAACACCATTTTGAAAATACAAGAACACGTTAGTGTGTGGTTATATCCAGATACCTGCAGTTCTTGACTGGCTGGAGGCAAATGGTGTGGAGTATGAGTCATGCATAACACAGTTGGGTGTCACTGCTCATTATGCCTTTTGTCCTGCATAAGTCAGCAACACAGTTATTCTTCAGAGAGGAAAGAATGGCCCTACTTAGTCACTGGTTGTAGAGAAGTTTGCCCTGTTTAACTTTCGGTGTAGGTAAGTTACGTTTTTTTTTAATACATTGAAACATTTCCCCATATCGTTGGTAGAGTATTAGAGAAGAATGCCAGTAACTGACACCTCTGTGGCATAGTTTTTCTCAGAACATGCCCTTCATTCTAATAAGACCACAGTGTTAGACTCCCAACTTCACTGGGTTGCCAAAGGAAAGACAGGATTAGAAGTTTTTACCTGTACACAGTTCTTAATGGAGTACTTGCTTTTTAACCTTAGGTAATACGGTTGGAGGGTCAAGTAGCTCGATACAAATGTGCTGCTGAAAATGCTGAAAAAATAGAAGATGAACTGAAAGCTGAGAAACGCAAACTCCAAAGAGAGGTAATTTACCGTTACATTATAGATGAGCAAATTCAGTTTCTACAGAGGATTAGCAGACACATCTCTGAAAGCTTTTTTTTTTTTTCACAATAGTTGCCATGTAAATGACTACTTTTGTATTGTTCCTGTTAGTCGCGCTGAAGGATTGGCCAGAATCTTAGTACTCTTAGATCTGGTTAATGCAACTGTGACAACTCACGATAGCACACTTCCCTTGAACCGATTACTGTAACTGATTCTTAGGTAATGTCATCCTTAATGCCTAGCACCTCTCTCTAACTTGTATCAGACTTGGTGCTACTGACTAGACTGGAGCTCTCATGTCCCAGGGTCGTATCCTTCAGTACAGTTCTACTTCAGTGACAAAGTGTCATTTACAAGTGTCAAATCCAAATGGTCATTTGAGTCAGCGTACATAAGACTTGAATAATTGGTGTTTGTACTATAAAAACCATTACAAGTGTTGGCATACATGTCCTTTAACTAACGTCATTAAGAATCAGTTCTCAATTACAGCTTCTGTTTTTGTACTTTCAAATCTTTGACACTATTAGGATGTGTAAATGAGAAATTAGTGGGAAGCTGGGAATACTGGCATTGGGGTATCAGAGGTCGTGTTTCATCATTTAACCACAATGACACAGAATCAACAATAAAGGACCTAGAAGATAGGCCCCCCATCAACTTTAGATGTTTGGCAGAAGTCTAAATTTAAAGTCAAGTACTTATACTGATTGACATTGCAGCTACTGAACTAGTCTTCCTTGCTTGTTGTTTTGATCATGTCCCTCAATGGGCTCCCCACACATGATCACCTCAGATTTAAACATCTTGTCATCACCTTCAAAGTTCTGTATAATTCTGCCCCGTCCTACTTATCTTTTGTCAAGCTTCATATTGTCCACCTCTCCAGTCCACTAGTACTCTAGCCCTTGTCTGCTCATTTGTCAGTTTCTTACACAATAACCTCTGTGCCGCCTTCATTGTGGCGCTTTCTGCATGGTGCAACCTCACTGATCTCATCCACAGAGCCCCTACTCTGTCGACATAAGGCCTTCTTAAAAGACCCATTTCCGCCATGCTGCCTATAATGAATCAATGACTTGCTTATTGATGTTCCTGTTCCTTTTCCCCAAAGCACTCTCTACTTGTCTGTTCTTATAGTGTGAGACCACTGGAGCAGAAACTATCCTTCATGAGTGTTTGGGAAGTTGGTGCTACCATAAATATATAGTAAGCAAATGTAATAATCTTCAGGCACCTAAGTAAATGGCCTGAATTTCAGAGGTGCTGAACACATATTATTCCTCTTGGAGTTCGCATTGACTTGAGAGAGAATGAGGTTTGCTCAGCACCTCTGAAATTCAAGCTATTTAGTTGGTGTGACATTCCCCAGGGTAGAATGTGAGAGTTGAACAGCAGTGTCCCCTTAACTCTAGCCTGGGGTGCCTTTTACGCTGCTGTGCTGTCAGAACATCCACTCTTGGCCTGCTCACACAGCCTTCAGCGTTCAAATTCACTCCTAGCTAAATACATGAGCACTCTGACCAGTCACTCATTAATTACATACAGGGCGACACCCACAAATTCTTAGTCCCAGACTTTCCAGCAAAAATGTGCATCTTGTACTGTCCAGCACACTACTGAACAATGCAAGCTCATAGAAAGTCCATAATTTCATCAAAGGAAAGGGCTCATCCCAAAAAGAGTTTCCCATGCACTTTAATCCAAACACACTGGTTAAGATAAAACAATAAGCTAAATTTATTAACTACAGAAAGATAGAATTTAAGTGATTACAAGTGATAATGCATAAAAGTTGGGATTTAGTTACAAAAGAAAATAAAAGAATAATAAGCCAGCTAAAACCTCACGTAAAAAGCTAATAACTTAAAAGCAAAGGTTTCGTTTCACCATACACTGTCAATTTCGCATGCTGGGTCTCCTTGCAGCCTGGGACCATTCCCTCCTTAGTTCAGTTCTTTGAGATTCATTAATGTCCTGATCAGAGAGATGGGAGAAGGAGAGGTGAAGTCAAGCATTTTCCTTCTCCTTTATAACTTAATTTCTTGTGCTAGAAATATCCTTGCTAAATCATGGTGACACAGTCTGTTGTGGACGTGAGGTTTGAAATGTTCCTGTGATGCAATGCAAATTGCTTATTCACACCTCCCCCCTCCCTGTGGGAGAATGGCCACATAAGTATCTCATTTTTTTTAACACCTGGGTGGGGCCAGTGTCTCTTTGTCTCTGAAAAACTGCTTTGTGGGTGTTACCCAGAATTACAACATATTTCAGTAACAATCATATAGTAGAATCTCATAACTTTACATATAGTGTTGCTATACATATTTAAATGGGATAATAATGTTCAGCTGATTATGACTTTTCAAATGATACCTCACAAGTCATACTTTGTACAGAAGTTATCATAGTCTTGTAAAAGAGGTGACCATAATAGTATAGACCATCACACTTGGATGGTCCGAATTTGAGGCATGTTGGTTTGGAAAAATGTCTTATGAATAAAATGCACTGTGTGGCTTTCAAAGTAATGGTGCAGGCAGTTGCTTAATTTGTCAGAACTTGTTGAAAATCCATCGGGACCTTCTGCTTGTTCTTGTAATGAGGTTGCAGCAATATGGAAATCAGGAAGAGTTAGTGTTGGTAAAACACCCAAGCCACATTCTTTGGGAAAGGAAAAACATTTCAAAAGCTAGTGATGGCTTTTCCTTTGCTTCTTCCTTTCAGCTTCGCTCAGCATTGGATAAAACTGAAGAGCTTGAAGTTAGCAATGGCCATCTAGTGAAACGGCTGGAGAAGATGAAGGCCAATCGAAGTGCTTTACTATCTCAGCAATAATAGCCGGCTTTCACTGAAAACTACTACTTGATGGAATGAGAACAACATTGGAGATGCTTGTCTTTTGCTGTTTGGGATGCTTTATCATCATGCCTTCTGAGAACAAACAAAAAACCCACCCCAAACACATGCACTCATTTGCTATATGCCACCAAATTGTGGTTCTCTCTACGCAGATTCAATCCTGCTGCACTATATACATCGGAGTAGCTGATCCAAATGACTGGGCCTGTAGATGCCCTTCCACACTGTATGGTTGGTACATTTGCAGTACAGTACCTGTATACCATTTAACAAGCACACCGGGCATCGTGTTAGTTCTTCATCCCGAAAAGCACAGCAGCCGTTTTTTGCCATTTAAAATGGTGTTAAAAATAAAGATTTAAACTGGGACTTGAATTTTGTCTTGCTGAAATTTAGGGGGGAGAAAAGCTGTAATTTCTGGACTTCTCATGGCAGTATCTTCAATTTAGTGACTACAGTAGTATATTCATAGTAGGCTGTTCATTAACAAAACACTGTGGAACCACAAGCCATTACAAAGCAAAACTCCTTCAGTGGAAACCATGGAAGATGATGGTCTTGGAAGCAAAAGTGACCTTAAATGACTTTGCCAATAAAACAAAGGTGTTTGGAAGGAATTTTGCACCAGTTCAATCATAAGACTATTTTATTTCAGGGTGAATAGGCAATAGCTTCACTGAATTACAGCTTTTTATGTGTATTATTTAATCCCTATATTTGGAATTGAAGTAAACTACTTCTTTTAAAGGATGTAATAATGTTGCATAAATAAACCAGAGTAAGGCCATGTTTTAAAAAAGGTGGACTGCACTTACGTCATTTCACTACAGTTGTCAAAGCAAAAGTAGCTGAGAAGTAAAGAAGCACTTTAGAATACATTGCTACATCGATTTTTCTACAAGTTCTGTAATTGCAAAACTGTTCCTTGGGAATTTTACAAAACAATTTTCCACTTGAAAAAGAAAACATAACCAATTAAAATATCCCAGGCAGTTTTTACAATCTAGTGACTCTGTTAGCATTACAGCTCTGCTTCATTAGAAAAGATTTATAATATTGAATTCAAAGCAGTTATCTGAGAAATAAATCCCAGCAATTTGTCCCCCCTCCAGAGAAAGCTTGTAGTACATAAGGAATGCAGATGATTATTGTACAAAACTCCCAAAAACTCTGTTCCAGATATAAGATTAGATATCTCTTCAACAGAAATAATTTTCCATGAATGCTGACTCTTCTAGACTCCCTTCACTTCTGTTGCTTGCCACGTACTAAGCCAAATTCAGGGTCAAGAGGCCAAATTTCTCCTTAACCTCAGCTTTAGATTTCTGGTCCACATACTGTTGTTCTTGCTTTTCCCTCCTATTTAGAAGTTAGAATGCAGGACACTGCTGTTGTCCACTAAAGGAAGTATTGCTGATCTCGGTTTAATTACCTTTGAAGATCAGATAAAAATGTTAATTGGATGTGTTTCCCTGGCTAGAGAAGGAACACTCCTCATTCCATCAGAATGAATTCAGGCATCTGGCTTACCTCAGTGGGGAAGGAGTAGATCAGTGTTTTGGAAGAGGGAGTTGGGATGAGGAGGCCTTTGTGGTCTTAGAGAAATCAGAGAAATGTAGGGCTGGAAGGGCCCTCAAGAGGCCATACCCCTGCACTGAGGCAGGACTAAGTATACCTAGACCATAATTTCTTGCCCTTGTCAATCGGATATAGAGCTGTATAGTGGGTAAAAGGACGCCTTTAAATGAAATCTCCACCTCCAATTGGGCTTTTATGGAAAGACTCTTCAGATGCAGAGCCAGGTTTCTTGCTGAATACCTCAAACTAGATGTAGAAACCAGATTTGCAACTTTCTGTGACTTTTCTAATTTCTGGTGTATAGAGCCTCTAGTGTCTACAAAATACAATGAAGTTTTTTATTAAAATAAACATACCATAGTATTTTATTAAAGGATTAAGTTGTGTGATTGCCGCTTGGCATATCTTCTTGTGGTAGTGGGGAAAATACTGTCTTGTGACAAAAATCGGGGGGGAAATCGGTAACAATAAGGGTTGGGCCAAAAAATTTAAACAAATATTTTGTTCATCAGGAAGTGCTGTGATTTTTTTTTTAAAGGAACTTTCATCTTGCATCCATGTGCATTAATCTCTTTATCACAGACAGAAGTCAAATCCAAATTTCATAACCTGGATGCTTCTGCCTCTAAGAAATCTTTCAGTGTGTAATAAACTAGCTGAATATCCAAACCATAATTTGTTCCCTCTGAATCTCCTATGACCTAGGTTTAGTTGTAAGGGAAAAAAATATCAATTGGTTGTAGCACATTAATGTTTATTTTCCTATGAAGAATGCACACTAACAGGGCTTTAAATGGTGGTAACAACATTGGCTCCAAACCGCGGGGAAGTCAATGCATCCGGTTGGAGTTCAAGGGTATGTCTACACTGCAGC